AGTATAGGAAGATCGACCAAAAATCTATACATTGGATGTCCTCCTTCATCCCAGGGGCCAGTATAGGAAGATCCACCAAAAATCTATACATTGGATGTCCTCCTTCATCCCAGGGGCCAGTATAGGAAGATCCACCAAAAATCTATACATTGGATGTCCTCCTTCATCCCAGGGGCCAGTATAGGAAGATCCACCAAAATCGCTCTTTTCCCTTCAATTTCCCCACTTTGCTGCTAAAATTTGAAACACGATTTTGCTGCTTTTGTTTTACTTTCTGTCTTCATCAGAAGGAGAGGAAGCCTGGACTGTCTGTTCTGACCCGGGCCCCAAAGTGTCAGAAACATGCGCAATAGTCTGAATCTTGGCTGCCAGCCAGGGGCCGCCACACCGGCAGCTATAAAGAGCCGGGCCCTCTTATTCCTTCTGTATTGAACCGTATTGTAATTGTCCCGTAAAAAGCGCTGCGCAGGATGTTGGCGCTATATAAATCCCGTATAATAATATTAATAACTGCGCATCAGCCTGGGGGGAGGTGTTCTGTAGTCCTCTTGGGTGACAAAGCTGCCCCTAGATGCAGTAGAACATTGTCACCCAAGAGCAGGAAGTGTGTTAGTGGCGGGATCACACGGTGAACAAAATGGGGTGCAGCCGCATCTAAAGTTCCGATATTCCACAATATATGACTTTTCGGGGGGGGGGGGGGGGGGGGGGGGGGTCAGATACATCTTTTTCTGAAATATTGTCATTATTTATTTTATCTATTTATTTGTCAGATTTTATTTATTTATTGTATTTATCATATTTATTTATTCTATCTATTTATGTATTCATTTATTTATTATATATCTATTTATGTCATTATTTTGATTATTTATAAATATTTATTTCAATATTATAATATGTGACGGGATTATCTTCAGCTGATTTTTGCACCTTGTAGAGATTTATACTGGAGCATAAAATGGGCTCAAAATCTGACTTGTAGAATATTCTAGAGGCCGTAGAAGGGGATTCTGTCCCATATAACAGAAGTCAGGAGGGCGGGAATATTCTGCTTGGTGTGCGTTGGCTTTATCTACATTTATTTTGTTACAAAATACGCGAACACACAGTGCCATCTTCATAGCGTCCCGGGCCCTTGGGGTCCCTACCAGCCAACATCAGGTGTCCCCATATATCAGGTGTCCCCATCGCAGCCCTCCCTTATATCAGGTGTCCCCACCACAGTGTCCCCATCCATCAGGTGTCCCCATATATCAGGTGTCCCCACCACAGTGTCCCCATCCATCAGGTGTCCCCATCACAATGTCCCCATCCATCAGGTGTCCCCATCACAGTGTCCCCATCCATCAGGGTGTCCCCATCACAATGTCCCCATCCATCAGGTGTCCCCATCACAGTGTCCCCATCCATCAGGTGTCCCAATCACAGTGTCCCCATCCATCAGGTGTCCCAATCACAGTGTCCCCATCCATCAGGTGTCCCCACCACAGTCACATCAAAGTATCCCCCTTACATCAGGTGTCCCCATCACAGCGCCCCCTTATATCAGGTGTCCCCATCACAGCGCCCCCTTATATCAGGTGTCCCCATCACAGCGCCCCCTTATATCAGGTGTCCCCATCACAGCGCCCCCTTATATCAGGTGTCCCCATCGCAGCATTCCCTTATATCAGGTGTCCCCATCGCAGCATTCCCTTATATCAGGTGTCCCCATCGCAGCATTCCCTTATATCAGGTGTCCCCATCGCAGCATTCCCTTATATCAGGTGTCCCCATCACAGCACCCCCTTATATCAGGTGTCCCCATCACAGCATTCCCTTATATCAGGTGTCCCCATCACAGCACCCCCTTATATCAGGTGTCCCCATCGCTGCACCCCCTTATATCAGGTGTCCCCATCGCAGCACCCCCTTATATCAGGTGTCCCAATCACTGTGTCCCCATATATTAGGTGTCCTGATCACAATGTCACATCAAAGCACCTCCCTTTCATCAGGTGTCCCCATCACACAGCGCCCCCTTACATCAGGTGTCCCCATACTTCAGGTGTCCCCATCACAGTGCTCCCTTAAATCAGGTGTTCCCATCACATTGTCACCTTACATCAGGTGTCCCCATATATCAAGTGTCCCCATACATCAGGTGTCCCCATCACTAGTGCACCCCCCCCTCAACACAGCAACCAGGACCCCCCCGATCATGTACCTGGGGCCCAGGGGTGCCCCACACACCCACACAGACACACTGGCTCAGTACATCCTCAGGTTCTGCTTTGCAGCACTACACAATGGCTGCACTTTACTGCTCCTCCCCACAATGGAATTCTACGAGTTGGCTGCTGAAATCCATGCACTCCCCGTGCGGCTGATGTCACAGCAGCTGGAAAGCAGGTGGTCATATAGAATGCAGAGACATCAGTGCCTCCCTCTAGTGGCTGATCCATGTTAGTTATAGAAGAACAAGTAAAGTCACATGACACACCCTGGAAGGACTCAGAAATAGGGACACTGCCCCTTTAAGTGCAGGAGAAGTGCGATGTTCACAGCGAGGGGGTCTTCTCTGCAACTTATTTTTCGATGATTTGTGTCGGATCGGCGCGGGGATAAAGGCGCCTTTTTGTTCTCCGCCATGGCCGGGGCACACTGGGCTCCCTTTGTACGCGGACGCCTTCAGCCATTTCTAAAAGCGCATTATAGCGCTCCGCCACAAATGTTTTTCTTTATTTCCACCGGTGAGGCTCCTCTGTATATTCGCTGACCGCAGGCCCTCCGCTACCTGAAACGGGGCGACTCTGTCTAAACACGAATTAGAATATCAAAGGGCGGATTTCAGCGCACAGGCGTATGTGGAAACATAAAGAGAGGCCGCGCTGGGGCCCCATACACCCCCCCAGCCCCATCCACCCCCCCCACATTAAAGGTAAATAGACATTTTCTGCTTTTGTTTGCCTTCTTCTAAATGTACCTGAACCCTCCTTCACTGAGATGCTGCATTGCCGGTGAGGCGGCAGTGGAAAGTCAGCTTTGATCCTCAATGAAATCTATGAAAGAGTAAATCTGCACAGACCTCATTGGGGGGAGATTTCCCAAAACTGGATCTCTCAGAATCTGGTGCAGCTGTACATGGCAGCCAATCAGCTTCTACCTTCAGCTTGTTCAGGGAAGCTTTGACCATGAAACCTGGAAGCTGATTGGTTGCTGTGCAGAGCCGCACCGGATTCTGCCCCCTTCAGTTTTAGTAAATCTCCCCCCTGTGTGTCTGAACCTGAAGATATTAGTCAATGGTGCGCTGAGGGAATTCCGCTACATTGTAACAATTATCCAGAGTGAAGGCCGTTACATTGTAACATTTATCCAGAGTGAAGGTCGTTACATTGTAACATTTATCCAGAGTGAAGGTCGTTACATTGTAACAATTATCCAGAGTGAAGGTCGTTACATTGTAACAATTTATCCAGAGTGAAGGTCGTTACATTGTAACAATTATCCAGAGTGAAGGTCGTTACATTGTAACATTTATCCAGAGTGAAGGTCGTTACATTGTAACATTTATCCAGAGTGAAGGCCGTTACATTGTAACAATTATCCAGAGTGAAGGTCGTTACATTGTAACAATTATCCAGAGTGAAGGTCGTTACATTGTAACATTTATCCAGAGTGAAGGTCGTTACATTGTAACATTTATCCAGAGTGAAGGTCGTTACATTGTAACATTTATCCAGAGTGAAGGTCGTTACATTGTAACATTTATCCAGAGTGAAGGTCGTTACATTGTAACATTTATCCAGAGTGAAGGTCGTTACATTGTAACACTTGGGCTGCTTTCCCATTGCTCTGTCAGAGGGACGCTGTGCGGGTTCCTATTACCCAGCATGCACCTGTAAAAACTTTGTCATGTGACTCAAACGCACCAAAGACAGGACTGAGCGGTTTTGATGCCTTTGCAATGCATGTGTGTCGGGAGGAGTATTTCTGGGGCAGTTTTCACCGTCCATCGAATACGCAGCAAAGCATGCAGCAGACGCGGAGCGGTGTGTGAGGAGTTCCGTGAGATTCAACGGTCATGCGTTTCGTGAACGCGGCCTTTGTATTTTGTATCGTTACTTTGTAACAATTTCAGTATTCTGTGACACTTGTCCAGATTGGATCCGGTTCTGTGACTCCTGTGTGCCGGTGACAGGTCCTCTTTTCGGTTCCAGCAGGAGAAGCACAGGACTCTGCGGGAGGACGCCGCGCACTTTCACACGCTGTTCCCAAAGTCTCCTCCTCCGCTGTCAGCCGGCCAAACACACTTCAGTGGTGAACGCCGCGCTCTGTAATGAACTTTTATTGTCTGATATTTGTTGTGGTTTTGGCATTTTTTTGTTTTTTGTGATTTTTATTGTTTTGGCCGCCTGCAAGCCGCCCTCTTCCTATAAATGGCGGGGGGGGGGGGGGGCGGCACGTTGCGGGTGTTCCGGGACTCACCCAAATCCTAAGCTTCTAATTTACTCCGCTCTGCTTCCAATTAGGTCCACATTGTGCCGAGTGTGCAGAGCCGTAACGTGGGGACAGAGCGCCACCGATGTGACACCGCGACTACTGGGGGTCACCTGTACAGAGGGGTGACATGCTGGGGGTTGTAGTACTTCACCTACATGGATGACCATTTTATAAGTGGATCTCCAGCTGAAATGTCCCTTTGTTATCCAGCTTTAGAGAGGCGAGAACCCCGGACAGGATTTCACAGCTATTTCTATTCACTTCCTGTTTTGGGGACACCTTGTCACAACCACAACAGACGAGGACATCGGGACAGGAAGTGAGGAGAAAATCCCCCCCCCCCCTCCCGGAATAACAAAGATGGCGAGAAAAACCTGAAATGGGAGGTAACTCCACCGCACTCCACCCAAAAGAGAAGAGGAAGAGCTTTATTCCTATGTCAGTGCTTTCCCTTAGATGTACGGATCCCAACCCCGCCTCTGGCCCCCCGGCCCCCCTCTAATCTTCTATCCTCCTACCAACCTCCCCTCCAGGCTTGCACAGGTATATCGGCTCCTCCCCTCCAGGCTTGCACAGGTGCACTGGCTCCTCCCCTTCTGTCTTGCACAGATGTACTGGCTCCTCCCCTTCCGTCTTGCACAGATGTACTGGCTCCTCCCCTTCAGTCTTGCACAGGTGTATCAGATCCTCCCCTCCAGGCTTGCACAGGTGCACTGGCTCCTCCCCTTCAGTCTTGCACAGGTGTATCAGCTCCTCCCCTCCAGGCTTGCACAGGTGCACTGGCTCCTCCCCTTCTGTCTTGCACAGGTGTACCGGCTCCTCCCCTTCAGTCTTGCACAGGTGCACTGGCTCCTCCCCTGGGCTGAAACGGCTTCCTCTGATTTCACTGCACACTGGGAGCTTCTCACAATGTGCATTAGAATTGGGGGGGGGGGGGGTCAGAAAGGAGGGATAACCGAGGGGAGGTGTACAGTGGGGTCAGAGGGGGGTGTACAGTGGGGTGATAGAGGAGAGGTGTACAGTGGGGTGATAGAGGAGGGGGTGTACAGTGGGGTGATAGAGGAGGGGGTGTACAGTGGGGTGATAGAGGAGGGGGGTGTACAGTGGGGTGATAGAGGAGGGGGTGTACAGTGGGGTGATAGAGGAGGGGGTGTACAGTGGGGTGATAGAGGAGGGGGTGTACAGTGGGGTGATAGAGGAGGGGGTGTACAGTGGGGTGATAGAGGAGGGGGGATGTACAGTTGGGTGATAGAGGAGGGGGTGTACAGTTGGGGTGGTGTACAGAGGAGGGGGTGTACAGTGGGGTGATAGAGGAGGGGGTGTACAGTGGGGTGATAGAGTGGGGGTGTACAGTGGGGTCAGAGGGGGGGTGTACAGTGGGGTCAGAGGGGGGTGTACAGTGGGTGACAGATGAGGGTGGTGTAAAGTGGGGTCAGAGGGGGGTGTACAGTGGGGTGATAGAGAAGGGGGGTGTACAGTGGGGTGATAGAGAAGGGGGTGTACAGTGGGGTCAGAGGGGGTGTACAGTGGGGTCAGAGGGGGGGTGTACAGTGGGGTGTACAGTGGGGTCAGAGGGGTACAGTGTACAGTGGAGGTCAGAGGGGGTGTACAGTGGGGTGATAGAGGGGGTCAGAGGGGGGTGTACAGTGGGGTCAGAGGGGGGTGTACAGTGGGGTCAGAGGGGGTGTACAGTGGGGTCAGAGGGGGATGTACAGTGGGGTCAGACACAGTGGGGTCAGGGGGGGTGTAACAGTGGGGTCAGAGGGGGGTGTACAGTGGGGTCAGAGGGGGTGTACAGTGGGGTCAGAGGGGGTGTACAGTGGGGTCAGAGGGGGTGTACACATGGGGTGTCAGAGGGGGGTGTACAGTGGGGTGATAGAGGAGGGGGTGTACAGTGGGGTCAGAGGGGGTGTACAGTGGGGTCAGAGGGGGGGTGTACAGTGGGGTCAGAGGGGGGGTGATACAGTACAGTGGGGTCAGAGGGGGGTGTACAGTGGGATGATAGAGGAGGGGGTGTACAGTGGGGTCAGAGGGGGGGTGTACAGTGGGGTCAGGGGGGGGTGTACAGTGGGGTCAGAGGGGGTGTACAGTGGGGTCAGAGGAGGGGGGTGTACAGTGGGGTCAGAGGGGGTGTACAGTGGGGTGATAGAGGAGGGGGGTGTACAGTGGGGTCAGAGGGGGGGGGTGTACAGTGGGGTCAGAGGGGGGTGTACAGTGGGGTCAGAGGGGGGTGTACAGTGGGGTCTAGAGGAGGGGGTGTACAGTGGGATGATCAGAGGGGGGGGTGTACAGTGGGGTCAGAGGGGGGGTGTACAGTGGGGTCAGAGGGGTTGTACAGTGGGGTCAGAGGGGTGTACAGTGGGGTCAGAGGGGGGTGTACAGTGGGGTCAGAGGGGGGTGTACAGTGGGGTCAGAGGGGGGTGTACAGTGGGGTCAGAGGGGGGTGTACAGTGGGGTGTCAGGGGGGGTGTACAGTGGGGTGATAGAGGAGGGGGGTGTACAGTGGGGTCAGAGGGGGTGTACATTGGGGTCAGAGGGGGTGTACATTGGGGTCAGAGGGGGTGTACAGTGGGGTCAGAGGGGGGGTGTACAGTGGGGTCAGAGGGGGGTGTACAGTGGGGTCAGAGGGGGGTGTACAGTGGGGTGATAGAGGAGGGGGTGTACAGTGGGGTCAGAGGGGGGTGTACAGTGGGGTCAGAGGGGGTGTACATTGGGGTCAGAGGGGGGTGTACAGTGGGGTGATAGAGGAGGGGGTGTACAGTGGGGTCAGGGGGGGTGTACAGTGGGGTGATAGAGGAGGGGGTGTACAGTGGGGTCCTTCCATTGAATAAAGCGGGGCCCCTATAAAGGTCGCCATCCGTGATACAATGTAACTCTTTCCATTGGACGGTTGTCAGAGACAATACAGAGTATACAGGAAGTCTCCATCCAATAGCTGCAGCCGTCTGTCAGCGGAGTATTCCTTTAAAATGGTCCCGCGCAGCGATGGGAGATCCGTCATCGGAGTCGCAGCGTCAGCCGCCATTTTCCATGTCACAATCCGCCGTCTCTAACGATCCTGACACGACGATCAACAATCCCCGGCTGCGGCGGCGTTCAGTCATTTTATCCCGTCTGGTGTACAAATATTTTGCGGATTTGGGATCGTTTGAACTCGTCTCTCCGCGGCGAGCGCGCCCGGCCTTTGGGGACTCTGTTTTCCTTCAGTTAAAAGGAACCATATTGTCGGAATATTGTGCGCAGAAAACAAGAACCGGCTAATTAGATTAGATAAGTGAAAAAAATTAGATTTGCATTTTCCTCCTTATTTGAAACTTCCAGCGAGATGAGTGGAGAGCGCCCGGGGCGAGAGAGCGCCCGCACCAGCCCAACGCCGCCAAAAACACGACTTTATTTGATAGAGATACAATTACACAATATTTGAAGATCTGTCAGACGCTGGAGGCCAGTCAGCTATGTACAGCTCTTTCAAGGCGGCCTCCGCGTCTCCTAATCCGACTGAGCGCAGCGAGGGGGGGAGGGGCACGGGGGCTTATTCCACCCCGGGACAGTCAGTGCCAGGGCAGAAAATCATCCAATGTGCACAACAATCTCCTCTACTACACAGTATTGCGCTGGGACCCCCCCAAGTGTCAGGGTGTCATTGTTCTGGGCCCCCCAGTGTCAGTGTCAGGGTGTCATTGTTCTGGACCCCCAAGTGTCAGGGTGTCATTGTTCTTGGACCCCCAAGTGTCAGGGTGTCATTGTTCTGGGACCCCCCAACCCCCAAAAGTGTCAGGGTGTCCATTGTTCTGGGACCCCCAAATGTCAGGGTGTCATTGTTCTGGACCCCCAAGTGTCAGGGTGTCATTGTTCTGGGACCCCCAAATCTCAGGTGTCATTGTTCTGGACCCTCTAAGTGTCAGGGTGTCATTGTTCTGGGCCCCCCAGTTATCAAGGTGTCATTGTTCTGGGACCCCCAAGTGTCAGGGTTGTTCTGTTCTAGACCCCCAAGTGTCAGGGTGTCATTGTTCTGGGACCCCCAAGTGTCAGGGTGTCATTGTTCTGGACCCCCCAAAATGTCAGGGTGTCATTGTTCTGGACCCCCCCAAGTGTCAGGGTGTCATTGTTCTGGGACCCCCCCCAAGTGTCAGGGTGTCATTGTTCTGGGTCACCCCCCAAATGTCAGGGTGTCATTGTTCTGGACCCCCCCAAGTGTCAGGGTGTCATTGTTCTGGACCCCCAAGTGTCAGGGTGTCATTGTTCTGGGCCCCCCAAAGTGTCAGGGTGTCATTGTTCTGGGACCCCCAAGTGTCAGGGTGTCATTGTTCTGGACCCCCAAGTGTCAGGGTGTCATTGTTCTGGGACCCCCAAGTGTCAGGGTGTCATTGTTCTGGGACCCCCAGTGTTCAGTGTCAGGGTGTCATTGTTCTGGGCCCCCCATCAGGGTGTCAGGGTGTCATTGTTCTGGGGACCCCCAAGTGTCAGGGTGTCATTGTTCTGGGACCCCCAAGTGTCAGGGTGTCATTGTTCTGGACCCCCAAGTGTCAGGGTGTCAATTGTTCTGGGCCCCCCAAGTGTCAGGGTGTCATTGTTCTGGACCCCCAAATGTCAGGGTGGGCCCCCTATGTCATGTCTTGTTCTGGACCCCCAAGTGTCAGGGTGTCATTGTTCTGGGACCCCCAAGTGTCAGAAGGTGTCATTGTTCTGGGACCCCCAAATGTCAGGTGTCATTGTTCTGGGACCCCCCCTAGGTGTCAGGGTGTCATTGTTCTGGACCCCCAAGTGTCAGGGTGTCATTGTTCTGGACCCCCAAGTGTCAGGGTGTCATTGTTCTGGGACCCCCAAGTGTCAGGGTGTCATTGTTTCTGGACCCCCAAGTGTCAGGGTGTCATTGTTCTGGGACCCCCAAGTGTCAGGGTGTCATTTGTTCTGGACCCCCAAGTGTCAGGGTGTCATTGTTCTGGACCCCCAAATGTCAGGTGTCATTGTTCTGGACCCCCAACTGTCAGGGTGTCATTGTTCTGGACCCCCAAGTGTCAGGGTGTCATTGTTCTGGGACCCCCCAAGTGTCAGGGTGTCATTGTTCTGGGACCCCCAAGTGTCAGGGTGTCATTGTTCTGGGACCCCCAAGTGTCAGGGTGTCACTGTTCTGGGACCCCAAGTGTCAAGGGTGTCATTGTTCTGGACCCCCCCAAGTGTCAGGGTGTCATTGTTCTGGGACCCCCAAGTGTCAGGGTGTCATTGTTCTGGGGACCCCCAACTGTCAGGTGTCATTGTTCTGGGACCCCCAACTGTCAGGGGGTGTCACTGTTCTGGACCCCCCCAACTGTCAGGGTGTCATTGTTCTGGGACCCCCCAACTGTCAGGGTGTCATTGTTCTGGGACCCCCAAACTGTCAGGGTGTCATTGTTCTGGGACCCCCAACTGTCAGGTGTCACTTGTTCTGGGCCCCCAACTGTCAGGGTGTCATTGTTCTGGGCCCCCCAACTGTCAGGGTGTCATTGTTCTGGGTCCCCCAACTGTCAGGGTGTCATTGTTCTGGGGGGCCCCCCAGTGTCAGGTGTGTCATTGTTCTGGGACCCCCAACTGTCAGAGGTGTCATTGTTCTGGGGCCCCCCCCAACTGTCAGGGTGTCATTGTTTGTTCTGGGACCCCAACTGTCAGGGTGTCATTGTTCTGGGCCCCCAACTGTCAGGGTGTCACTGTTCTGGGCCCCCCAGTGTCAGGTGTCATTGTTCTGTTGTCAGGGAGTCATTGTTCTGTACCCCCAAGTGTCAGGGTGTCATTGTTCTGGCCCCCCAACTGTCAGGGTGTCATTGTTCTGGGACCCCCAAGTGTCAGGGTGTCATTGTTCTGGGACCCCCAGTGTCAGGGTGTCATTGTTCTGGGCCCCCCAGTGTCAGGGTGTCATTGTTCTGGGCCCCCCAGTGTCAGGGTGTCATTGTTCTGGGACCCCCCAAGTGTCAGGGTGTCATTGTTCTGGGACCCCCAGTGTCAGGGTGTCATTGTTCTGGACCCCCAAGTGTCAGCGGTGTCATTGCTCTGGGCTCCCCAGCTGTCAGGGTGTCATTGTTCTGGGGCCCCAACTGTCAGGGTGTCACTGTTCTGGGCCCCCCAGTGTCAGGGTGTTATTGTTCTGTACCCCCAAGTGTCAGGGTGTCATTGTTCTGGGCCCCCCAGTGTCAGAGGGTGTCATTGTTCTGGGACCCCCCAGCTGTCAAAAAGTGTCATTGTTCTGGGCTCCCCAGCTGTCAGGGTGTCACTGTTCTGGGCCCCCAACTGTCAGGGTGTCATTGTTCTGTACCCCCAAGTGTCAGGGTGTCATTGTTCTGGGACCCCCCAAGTGTCAGGGTGTCACTGTTTCTGGGCCCCCCAACTGTCAGGGCGTCATTGTTCTGCCCCCAAGTGTCAGGTGTCATTGTTCTGGGACCCCCAAGTGTCAGGGTGTCATTGTTCTGGGACCCCCAACTGTCAGGGTGTCATTGTTCTGGGACCCCCAACTGTCAGGGTGTCATTGTTCTGGGACCCCCAACTGTCAGGGTGTCACTGTTTCTGGGCCCCCCAACTGTCAGGGTGTCATTGTTCTGGGACCCCCAACTGTCAGGGTGTCATTGTTCTGGGCCCCCCCAACTGTCAGGGTGTCATTGTTCTGGGCCCCCCAACTGTCAGGGTGTCACTGTTCTGGGCCCCCCAACTGTCAGGGTGTCACTGTTCTGGGCCCCCCAACTGTCAGGGTGTCACTATTCTGGGCCCCCCAACTGTCAGGGTGTCATATTTCTGGGCCCCCAACTGTCAGGGTGTCATTGTTCTGGGCCCCCCAACTGTCAGGGTGTCATTGTTCTGCGCCCCCAACTGTCAGGGTGTCATTGTTCTGACATTCCAAAGTCTTTCCGGTATAATTGATCCCAGTGGATCTGCCACCCCCAGAGAACCCCAGGGAGGGACCCCGCAGTACGGGGGGGGATGGTGTCAGTCTCCTGCGGTCGATTCTCACGCGCTGCGCACAGCGATGGACGGCGGCTGATTATACATTTACTGCCGTCTGATTGCCGCTTGTCTTTTTTTTGCTGACGACTAGAACAAACTCCAAGCGGCAATAAAGGAGAAGGTCCGCCTCAGAATTGGAGGTCAATTAGACACTTAATGATAAAGCAAATCTTTAAATATATTTCGGCTATTATTATCCCGGCAAAAAATTAATTAAGCGGGTCAAGCAGGACATGAAGGCTAATGTGGAGTGTAATTACGGCTGATCCCCCGACATGTTCTCCTGCACAGAGAGCGCCGTGTTCAGCAAGTCTGCTACTTCAATTTCCAGTGTTTAATCACACGAGGAGCCGCGTTTGAACCTCGCGAAGATCTGAGCGCTTTCCTCTCACATCCGAGATGATTTGAATTTCAAGATTTTTTTTTTTTTCCGGTTAATATCGGGAGATTGACTTTGATTTTATCAGCGATTAAGCGTGATAGATCATCAGACGTCTACGTGAAAGGACGGCGCGTCCTAAAAACCAGGACCGCGGCTCGATTTGTTGGGAGGAAAGCAGAATAAAATCCCACGTGAGGGGCGCCAGAAATGTTTATTGGAGGTCCTCTTCCACCATCCTAGACCCGGACCAGCAGCAGAAACTTAGACCCATCCTAGACCCAGACCAGCAGCAGAAACTTAGATCCATCCTAGACCCAGAACAGCAGCAGAAACTTAGACCCATCCTAGACCCGAACAGCTGCAGAAATTAGACCCATCCTAGACCCACAGCAGCAGCAGAACCTAGACCCATTCTAGACCCAGACCAGCAGCAGAAACTTAGACCCATCCTAGACCCAGACCAGCAGCAGAAACTTAGACCCATCCTAGACCCAGACCAGCTGCAGAAACTTAGACCCATCCTAGACCCAGACCAGCAGCAGAAACTTAGACCCATCCTAGACCCAGACCAGCAGCAGAAACTTAGACCCATCCTAGACCCAGACCAGCAGCAGAAACTTAGACCCATCCTAGACCCAGAACAGCAGCAGAAACTTAGACCCATCCTAGACCGACCAGCAGCAGAAACCTTAGACCATTCTAGACCCAGACCAGCAGCAGAAACTTAGACCCATCCTAGACCCAGACCAGCAGCAGAAACTTAGACCCATCCTAGACCAAGACCAGCTGCAGAAACTTAGACCCATCCTAGACCCAGACCAGCAGCAGAAACTTAGATCCATCCTAGACCCAGAACAGCAGCAGAAACTTAGACCCATCCTAGACCCGGACCAGCTGCAGAAATGTAGACCCATCCTAGACCCGACCAGCAGCAGAAGCCTAGACCCATCTAGACCCAGACCAGCAGCAGAAACTTAGACCCATCCTAGACCCAGACCAGCAGCAGAAACTTAGACCCATCCTAGACCCAGACCAGCAGCAGAAACTTAGACCATCCTAGACCCAGACCAGCAGCAGAAACTTAGACCCATCCTAGACCCAGACCAGCAGCAGAAACTTAGACCCATCCTAGACCCAGACCAGCAGCAGAAGCCTTAGACCCATTCTAGACCCAGACCAGCAGCAGAAACCTAGACCCATTCTAGACCCAGACCAGCAGCAGAAACTTAGACCCATTCTAGACCCAGACCAGCAGCGGAAACTTAGACCCATCCTAGACCAAGACCAGCTGCAGAAACTTAGACCCATCCTAGATCCCAGACCAGCAGCAGACACTTAGACCCATCCTAGACCCAGACCAGCAGCAGAAACTTCAGAGCCATCCTAGACCCAGACCAGCAGCAGAAACTTAGACCCTTCCTAGACCCGGACCAGCAGCAGAAACTTAGACCCATCCTAGACCCGGACCAGCAGCAGAAACTTAGACCCATCTTAGACCCAGACCAGCAGCAGACAACTTAGACCCATCCTAGACCCAGACCAGCAGCAGAAACTTAGACCCATCCTAGACCCAGACCAGCAGCAGAAACTTAGACCCATCCTTAGACCCAGACCACAGCGGAAAATTAGACCCCATCAGAAACTAGACCCAGACCAGCAGCAGAAACTTAGACCCATCCTAGACCCAGACCAGCAGCAGAAACTTAGATCCCATCCTAGACCCAGAACAGCAGCAGAAACTTAGACCCATCCTAGACCCGGACCAGCTGCAGAAACGTGGACCCATCCTAGACCCGGACCAGCAGCAGAAACTAGACCCATCCTAGACCCGGACCAGCTGCAGAAACTTAGACCCATCCTAGACCCAGACCAGCAGCAGAAACTTAGACCCATCCTAGACCCAGACCAGCAGCAGAAACTTAGATCCATCCTAGACCCAGAACCAGCTGCAGAAACTTAGACCCATCCTAGACCCAGACCAGCAGCAGAAACTTAGATCCATCCTAGACCCAGAACAGCAGCAGAAACTTAGACCCATCCTAGACCCAGACCAGCCAGCAGAAACTTAGATCCATCCTAGACCCAGACCAGCAGCAGAAACTTAGACCCATCCTAGACCCGGACCAGCAGCAGAAACTTAGACCCATCCTAGACCCAGACCAGCAGCAGAAACTTAGACCCATCCTAGAC